AAAAAATCCCCATGACAAACAAACAAACCAACCCCCCCCCCCCAGTCTTCTGTCTGTCTGGTCCCTTTGCTGCCCACTTATTCACATGTTTATCTACGTTGTTTGGACTTATAACTTTTTAAAAGGGAACTCTATCACTACTTGTGAGTTTTCCTGTCAATATTCTACCCCCGTGTCTTGATAATTCCCAGTTTTATTTGCCGGTTAAAAATATTGCCCCCATAGTGCTCCTTGAGTGTCTTCTTAGTGCTCCTTGCCTGGACCTTTTTGAAGGCCAGCGTATCTGTTTCCTTGAGATGAAAATACAGGCGCACCTGCTATAGAAATGTTGTTTCCCATTAAAGCACATATTTTTAAAAGAGTGCCCGTTCAAAGTCCAGGGTAGCAATTCAAATGTTCAAAGGTCCTCACTGTCGTTACGCTACGACATGTCGACCAGGAAGGAGCAAAAAATACCTTACGTGCCCACATACCTGATTATGTGAGAAACATTAAGATCTGAGAATTGTTAAGTGTTCCCGTTTGCTTCTTGTTACAAGAGGCACAATGTAATTGCCTTGTTAACTTTGAACTAACCGTGTCATTGGTGTTCTCATTGTCTCCAGACTTGGCATGCCTACAACCTAAAGTGGAATGCTGAGGATTTTGGTAACGTTTCTACCCTCATTGTGCCAAGGTCTCTGGTTTGGGTCCCAGACATTCTCATGTACAACAGGTGAGGTTACGGATATGCTAGTGTGTGGTGGTGTATGACGAAACGGTGTGATATGGTATAGTACAGTACGGTAAGGTATGGTATGATATACCAAAGTCTGATGTGCTATATCGTGAACAGATTTAACACCCCTTTCTGTGCAGCAATATCATCAAAAAGATAGGATGGTCAGTATAAACCCATATCCCAACACCAAGAGGACGAAAAGCCATGAACATTCGACAATCTAAGTTCAAGTACCCTTTGAATCCACAACAACTGTCTTTCTTCTGTGTGTTTGTAAGTGTCTCAAACAAACCAATGTTAGCCGTGGTGAACAGGATCGAAACAGTCCGCCATCTACCTAATGGGAATACATGGTATTATGTATTCAATGTCAGTTGTGTAGATAGAGGCGTACAACATTAAACGTTTTGTTGTAATTGCAGCGCCAGCGAAGATTTCGACGAGACGTACCCAACAAACGTCGTCCTCAGCAGCGACGGTTCCAACCTCTGGGTCCCGCCTGGGATGTTCAAAAGCACGTGCGCCATCGACATCACGTGGTTCCCGTTTGATGACCAGCTCTGTGACCTCAAGTTTGGTTCCTGGACTTACGTAGGGGGCCTGCTGAACCTGACTGAGGACAGCTCTGAAGGCGGGGACCTCAGCAGTTTCATACGGAACGGGGAGTGGATGCTAATTGGTCAGTGCTGCGATGTTTTCGATGTTTCATAGAAATGATTTTTGTCACTTTATGCGTACGGTTTGTCTTATCATATTTGTCTGTGAAACAGTCTCTTATCTTAGCCTAACAAGACCTTCAAGAGTAGCTTTTGATTAACACAAAGAAAGCATACAAATATTGAGCTTGATGTAAGATCCAGCTCTTCCAGGCCAGAAAGGCTAACAGAAAAAAGCAGTAAATACCATTCTCACTTGAATGTGTATTGCCACATTCTGTCGATACTACTACTACTACTACTACTACTACTACTACTACTACTACTACTACTACTA